GCACCAGACAGAAAAGGCTGTGGATTCTTATAAGCATGATAGCCTGTGAAAAATAGTTGGGTAGAAACTCTTCAGATGTTTGATGTGGCCTAATTTTTTTAAAGTTTTGAAAGTAAAAATATGCATACCAGAAAAACAAAAAAGTAAAATTTTAATAATGCATCAATTAGACAGGGTTTCCCATCAAGATGGCAGTGTAGGTAAATGCAGCTCTCAAATCCTCCCACAACCACATCAAATTACAAGTAAACGAACAACTATCACTCAGAGCCATCTGAAATCTGGCTGAATAAAAGTTTCAGAACTAGGGATTTAAAGAAGAAGCCACATTGGGACTGGCAAGAGGGGCAGAGATGGGGAACAGGTTGATTCCATACTCACATCTGGCAGATAAAAATTGGGAAGGCCCTGGCCAGCTAGCTCAGTTGGTTAGAGCATTATCCGAATACGCCAAGGTTGCAGGTTTGCTCCCAGGTCACAGCTCAAATAAGAATCAACCAATGAATGCATTAATAAGTGGAACAACAAATCAATGTTTACCCCCCTCCCTCTCCCTGTCCTCCCCCTCTTCCTTTCTCTCTCTCAAATCAATCAATAAAACATTGACTTCAGAAGTCCCCCCAAGGAGCAAGGGATCCCAGCCACAAACCAGGCCTCCCGGCCCAGAGTTCCAGAGCCAGGAAGAGTAGTCCACATAACTTCTGGCTGCAAAAAACAGGGAGAATTGAGGCTGAGTGAGGCGAAGGGCTGCCAGAGTCCCAGGCATTCGTCTGTGCAAGGACGTACTTGGATTCACTCCCTCTGAGCTCCAGCATTGGGGCAGCAGCTCAAAAGGAACCAGGGACATATGGAGAGGGACCGAATTGTCTGACATTAGGGTGAGAGCTAGGGAACAGCTTTCAGCCAGTGTTCCTTTTCTGAGCCTTCCCCTCACAGAGCCAGCAGGTAGGCACCATATCTGAGACTCCATCAACCTGGTACATACTGTTACCCCACCCTGGTGACTCCCTGAGGCCCCACCCCACCAAACTTGTGGACCCAACCAAGCAATTTCCAGTGGCTTTTCCATATACAACTAGCCTCTCTTGCCTCATGTTTCAGACTTTCCTAAAGTCTCTCAAACAAGCAGCATCTGTACCTCTGGCTAAGTGGCCACAGGCCTGGCACTAGTGACACATGGCCTTGGTTCATAGCTTGGCCACTTCTGGATATCTCCAAGCCCAGCACAAGTAGGAGCCATGTGCAGATGGCTCTGTAGCTCAAGGTGGCTCCAAGCAGGGCACAGGTGGTGGCTGACTTAGCATCTCCTGGGAGGCCCCAGAGCCAGGGCACCTGGTGGACAGCTTCAGACCATGCTGGATTATAACCACCTCTATGAGTGACACACTGAAGGGTAAGACTTGGTAAGCACCAAAGCCCCACTGAAGCAAGTCCTGCTCCATAGGGTTGACTCCTGCCTGGCAGCTTCTCTACTGGATTGCAGCCAGTCTTCACAGAAGATCAGCCTGAGGATCAATCCCTCCCAGTGACATGCCAACAGCAACCAAGGCTTAACGACAACAGGACAGTGCACATGGGCCACACAGGAGCACACCTAGAGTGCCTAGTTCAGGCGGCTATGCCTTACAGACACCTACTGCAGAAGGCCACTCTACAGTCTGGGAAGTGCAGCAGCTCTACCTAATACATAGAAATAAACACAGGGAAGCAGCCAGAATGTGGAAACAAAGAAAGAGGTCAAAAATGAAAGAACAGGAGAAATCTCCAGAAAAAGAACGAAATGAAATAGAGGCAAGAAACTGCTAGATGCAGAGTTCAAAACAACGTTATAAGGATGCTCAAGGAACTTAGTGAGAACTTCAACAGCATGAGAAAAGACATAGAAACCATAAAAAAAGAACCAGAAATTAAGGATATACTAACTAAAATGTATAATTTACAGGGAATCAACAGTAAAGTAGATAAATTCAAGAATCAAATTAGCAATTTGGAATTTAAGAAAGAAAACAACAACAACAACAACAACAAAACACCCACTCAGAACAGAAAACAAACAAAAATAACTTGAAAAAAAAGTGAAGATAGTGTAAGGAACTTCTGGGAAAACTTCAAACATATCAACATTTGCATCATGGGTTGCCATATGAAGAAGAAAGAGAGCAAGAAACCAAAGACCTAGTTAAAAAATAGTGACTGAAAATGTCCCTAACCCGGTTAAGGAAATAGACATACAGTCCAGGAAGCAGAGAGTCCCAAACAAGATCAACCCCAAGAGGCCCAGACCAAGACACACAGCAATTAAAATGCAAAAGGTTAAAGACAAAGAGAGAATCTTAAAATCAGCAAGAGAAAAGCAGTTAGTTATCTATAAGGGAACTCCCAGAAGAGTGTCAACTGATTTCTCAACAGAAACTTTGTAGACCAGAAGGGAGTGGTAAGAAATATTCAAAGTGATGAAAAGCATGGACCTACAACCAAGATTACTCTACCGAGCAAAGCTATCATGTAGAATCTGAGGACAAATAATGAGCTTCCCAAAGAAAAGCTAAAGGAGTTCATCACCATCAAACTAGTATTATATAAAATGTTAAGGGTCTTCTTTAAGAAAAAGGAAAAAAAGATAAAAAATATTAACAATAAAATGGCCGTAAATACATATCTGTCAACAATTGAATCTAAAAAACAAAATAAATGAACAAGTAGTACAGAACAGACTCATGGATACAGAGAACATTTTGATGGTTGCTGGATGGGAGGGGGGTTGGGGATATGGGTGAAAAAGGTGAAGGGATTAAGTACAAATTGGCTGTTACAGAAAAGTCATGGGGAAGTAAAATATAGCATAGAGAATATAGTAAATTATTCTAATAACTATGTATGGTGCCAGATGGGTATGAGATTTATCAGGATTGTCACTCAGTAAGTTAAATAATGTCTAATCACTAAGATGTACACCAGAAACTAATATAATATTGGACGTTAACTGTAATTGTAAAGTAATAAATGATTTAAAAATTAATACAATTAAAAAAAAAAGGAAAGAAAGATCAATTAGGCAGTCTTTCTTGCCCCTTGAGGTAGAAGAAATCCAATACCTGATCTTTCCCTGTTACTTCTGACTTAAATGATCTATAATGTTAATTTTACCTTGCTACATTCTGTTACTATAGGTAATAAGTGTAAGCTTCTATTTATTGACTCTCAAAGTGAAAATGAATGAAAAGCATTACCAACATTTTGATGACAATACCCATAACATTCAAAGAAAGCTACGTGGAACCTCACCTCAGAGACTCCCCTATGCTGTCTGAAGGGGATTGTTTCAGGTCTCACAAATAGTTCTCTCTCTTCACCTTCCTTCCATTTCTCAACATCATGACATATTTTAGTTTGCTTAACATTTTACCATGTCTTTCTTATTTAGCAATTTTTCCCCCCATAATTTTTAACTGCCATTTAAAAATGTATTCAAATATTTCTTTCTTCCTTGATCATACGGTTAAAGTTTTATAGCTTCTTAATTTGATTTTAAAAAACATTTTATTTATTTATTATATATTTTTATTGATTTCAGAGAGGAAGGGAGAGGGAGAGAGAGAGAGAAACATCAACAATGAGAGAGAATCATTGACTGATGGCCTCCTGCATGTCTCACACTGGGGACTGAGCCCATAACCTGGGCATGTGCCCTGACTGGGAATTGAACCGTGACCTCCTGGTTCATAGGTCGACACTCAACCACTGAGCCACGCCGGCTGGGCTTAATTTGGTTTCTGTAAGAAATTAAATCCTCCAGTTTCTCCTCTTTCTTTTCTAACTTGAATGTATCACCTCCCGCTTTTTTTACACAGCTCTTCTTTTTAGATTCCTTTTCTGTTTAATTGGATTACACCAGCTCACCCCCCCCTCCCCTTTCCCGTGCCCTCTCCCCCTCACCCCCTCCCTTTTTTTTTTTTTTTTCGGCCAGAAAGAAGGTAATTTTCTGTGCCCTTGCAAGTCTGAAAATGCTTTTATTTGGAATATAAAATTATTTTCCTTCATAAATTTGAAGGCAATTACTTCACTGCCTGCTGGTGTGGATACCACCTACCTGATAAAAATGATTCCTGATTTTTTGTTGACAGCCGTCTTTTCTCTCTAGAAACTTCTAGAATCTTCTCTTTACCTTTGATGTTCTGAACTTTCCAGAGGACATGCAGCTGTAGACCTTCTTTTATCCCCCTGTGCAGTTCTCAGTGGGTCTTTCCATCTGAAGATCTATAACTCGCTTCAGCTCTGGTCAGTTTTCTTCTGTCATTCCTTAATAATTGCCTCTTCCCAAATGTCTTTGTTCCCTTTTCTGAGTGGACGAGTCTGAGTAGGTGTACACTGACACCTTTAGATTGTCTATGCCTGCCACCTTCTCCATCTCTTTTTAAATCTATGTTATGAGATACTGCGACTTTTTCTTTGACTCATATTGAATTTTAAATTTTTAGCCATTATATTTTTAATTTCCAAGCAATATTTCTTGCTCTGTTCTTCTTTTCATAGCAGCCCTTTCTTATATTATGGAAATGTTATCTTCTCAAATCTTTCTAAGGGTTTTTATTAGAATGAAATTTTTTTCTTTTGTTCCATATTCTCCAGAGTTATTCTTTTTGTTCATCTTGATTCTTCTCTTTTATGCTCTTGGTTTTCTCAAATGTCTCACGATCCCTGTGTCCAGTCCAGCTGTCTATGATGAGGTTCATTAGCACAGTTAGCCGCCCCCAGTTTCCTCTGTGGTTGTGTAGGGCTCTCTCCCTGGAGGAGCCGTCCTGCAGGTGGGGAGGTGTGGCACCCAGCGGCGCACTGGAGGGGACACAGGTAGAGGGGGGGCAGGCAGACAGGCTCTCCCGTCCAATCCTCCTGGGCTTTCAATTCCTTGAGGTCAGATCAGCACCATATAGTTTACTCAACTTAGATCTCAAGAGGACCCTGAACAAGACAACTATTAACTAACAAAAACAAAAACTAAGAGGTCATTTCAAAGAGAGCTTATGGAACGCAAACCAGGAGATCTTAACGCAGTGACCTAGGATTGAGTTCTCCATAGGATGTAATAGGCACTCATAGTGCTGTGCCTTCCTGAGGAGATATAAGACATAGGATTTAGAAAAACAGAAAAAAAGCACACAAGCAACCAACCCTTACTGTCCTTCAAGGGCCTACTCTGGGCCCGGTATTTGATAGCTGATTTATTTCCATTTGTCTTACTTAATTCCCTAAACAGCCCTACTTTGTATTCTAGAGACCAGGAAACAGATTCAAAGAATCTGAGACCTGCTCAAGTTCACATGTGTGGGAAGGGGCAGAGCCGAAGAACCCTGTTCCTGGAGCCCACAAAGACCAACCATCGTAACTTGGAGGAATCCGCAGTCACTACAAACCGCCCCTCACAGTCGCACCTCTGTGCTGTGCGCTTCACACACCCACAGCTCAGAGAAGGATGTGCTGTATGATCTCTGTCTGATTTGAGCAGAAATGGCCTCCTCTTTGGACATGCAGGCCGGTGGCAAAGCCTCCACTGTAACACCACAGGGAGGCGGATGTTCTGGTTGACCCGGTGTTCTGGTTCGGCAAGAGCTCCCAAGGAACACCTGACTAGAAGGGACTGAGTCCCTCCCGTGAGCCTCACAAACCGCCCTCTGGGCTCCAGAGCCAGGCCTATCGACCCCCATGGACTTGTGAGTCTCCCAACACCAGAGGGCAACCATGCCCACTGCACGGCACACACAGCTGGCCTTGCCCGGCGACCCAGGTCAGAGCCTCCATGAGCAACCTGGCAGTGGCAATGCCACCTGCAGACGTCCTGGCTCAGAGAGGCCTGATTCTGCTCTTTGGTCAAAGGTACTGGAGCTTCTAAAGAACATGAGCCATTAAGAGGCCAAAACACATCCAGAGCAGTCTGCCCTCACCCCAACCAGGGCCAAACCCTGCAGAGCCCAGCTCTGCTGTGAAACTTGCAGGCGGTGGTCCCAGGGATTTCCTGGTCAGCAACAAACACAGAGCACCTTGTGGACCAAGAAGTTAATGCAGCAAACCAAAAAGCGGGCCTCATGGGCTTAACACAGACTTAGAGCTGCTACAAATAACCCCTGTGGTCAGCAGGGAGCACCCTTTCTCCCTCTGCAGCTGTGAATACCCTTAAACCAGTTCATGCATTGCCTTTGGGGGCAAGTAGAGTGTGGGGGCGTTGCCCGCACCTTACAGATAACCAAACAGGTTTGGGAGAGAGTCTATTAGCCAAATGTGTGCAAGGGCATAAAAGAGTAGCTTAGGAAATTAATTTTCTTCATTCTTTCAATTTTTAAATTTAAATTACTCTTTGATCTAGATAAACCTGCCTTAGGTGCCATCAGAAGTACAGTGGTTATTTGATAGATAAAACCTTGTTCTGGGGAGATCTCAGATGGCTTCGACTCCTTCAAAATGTGCCGGGGCCTGCACTGACCTACCGGCTGTTTCAGGTAGACTCCAGGCTTCTTCCCAGCACTTCCTGCTCACAGGGCTCGGATTGCCTGACCAGGCCTGGAGACTGAGTGCATACATTGTGCAAAGCTGGTAGCCCTTTCCCCGGGGTGTGCAGAAACCCCTCTGAGGCCCTCCCCAGGAGAAAGCAGGCAAGAGCAGACCCTGGTGCGGGGCAGTGGGAGGCTAACAGGAAGCTCCCTGTAACCATATTCCCATCAGCGGTGAGGCAGCTGTGGCTCTTCTGCCCAGTGGCACTCTCCCCATGCCCACCCTCCCCAGCCTGCCCCACCCCTTCACCCAGCCCTTCCCACCCCCACCCCACAGTCCACTCTACTTTATGAATGTGTGGAATGAGGAATCACTTATTCTGAGAAGATGGAATGTGTTAGCTGCAGCCAGTGACAGCAATGAATTTTACAAATAGCTTTCTAGAAGCCCTCATTCAAGTTCACAAATCAGGCCCATAACAACCCCGATTCTCCAACCCCGCAGATGGAGATGGCTGGCGTCAGGCAGGACCATTTGTCTTGGGCTAATCTTGTGCACGCAGCGTGGAAGGCTCAGACTGAGCCTGCGTTTCCCAAATTGCTTCAAACTGCAGGGGACAGAGAGAGAGACCCTTCTGAAAGGGCCCCACATGTCCATTCTGAAAGGGCCCCAGCATTCCTGCTGGAATGTCAGAATCATGGGTTGTCACGGCCCATGAGGTCTGAGCGACCAGCAAGTTCAACTCTTCACGCAAAAGACAAAGAAACCAAGGCCCATTCTTATCCAAGCCATACCCAGGTGAGCAGGACAGTACAGGCAGCTCCTGACTTACAATGGTTTGACTTAAGTTTGACTGACTCCATGACGGTGCAAAAGCAATACTCATTCAATAGAAACGACTTCAAATTTTGATCTTCTGGGCTAGTGATGTGCGGTACGATGCTCTCTCGTGACTGAGAAGTGGCACTGAGCGCAACTCCCAGCTAGCTGTGTGATCACGAAGGGAAACCACCCATACCCTCCAGTGTACAGTGTCGCCTGCCTGCGTGTTTTGGATATTGTGCTTTACATCTCATCATGTCCACAAAACGCCCGTCTGTGTCTCTTGCTTCTGGTGAGAAGAGGAGGAAAGCAATTACTCTTGAGATGAAACTCAACTGCAGGCTAATGTAAGCATTCTGAGCCCGTTTAAGGAAGGTGAGGCTAAGCTACGGTGTTTGGCAGGCCAGGTTAAGTATTAAATGCATTTTTGATTTACGATATTTTCAACTTACGATGGGCTTATTGGCACGTAACCCCATCCTAAGTCGAGGAGCGCCTGTATTTCAAAATGATGGCTGGTGGTTTTCATTTTCAGCGAATTATTTTTTCTCCTAAGTTCTTTTGCCAATAAAACCAGACATGAGGCTCGGGGGAGAATATGGTGCACAGAGTGCAAAGGTATCAACTTCTTGGCTCTTGAAACTTATAGCAGAGACAATTTTCTGGAAACTAAGGCTTTCAATTTGTGGGTGACAGGCTTTTAGAAAAATAATTTATTTCTCAAGCTCTATAATCTCGACTTTTAATAGCAAGAAATAAAGAGATGGAGTCCATAAAGTTCAGAGCATTTGCAGCTAAGCTGGGGAGGATGTATGGGAATTTATAAACTTGTCTTCCCTCCCATAGGAGATCAGGTCACATGGCTGGGAGAGGTGGGGAGAGGAACTGGGAGATGAGCGCAGCAAAAGCAAGTCCTGGGGTCCCTCTTTCAGAAGGAGCCTGATGGCCTTTTCCTTGGAGGTGATGATCTAAACCCCATAAAAGTTGGTGGGGATCCCAGAAGAGAGGAGACCCGTGCCACGGGAGAAGGGCTGTAAGCCTTCTAGATGAGAGCGGCCCTGAGTCTAGCCAGGTGTGGGAGCTGGAGGGCGGAAAGAGCCGCGGGAGTCCCTGATGGTGAGTCTGTGCACAGGAGCAGGACCTCAGCTGTGTGTCCTCGCCCTTGCTTCCCATGACTGAGTCCCACAGATCTGAACTCACCCAGGGTCTGCCTCCTCCACTCTCTTGTGCAGGGACTGTGGGCTAGTGACTTATCTGTGCCTCAGTGTCTCCATCTGAAAAATGGGGATAATAATAGAACTTGTTTCCCTGGGTAGTTACGAGGATTAAGTGGAAGATGTATGGAAAGTCCTTGGCACGGAGCCTGCCACAGAGAAACTGTCTGAACAATGTGGCTCGTATTACCATTGCTAACAACGACACACTGGCTTTGAAATCAACGCAACTAAGCAGAACCAGGGTACTCCGCATGCAGGCTAATTAAAACATCTAAGTCATCTTTTCAATAACTGCTGGTTAGAGCAGGATGCAAGGGCTCGTGGGGTGTGTTGTCACATTGAGTGAGATCTCAGAGTAGTTTTCTCAAGTTCACAGGCTGAACAAGGAAACACATCTTGTGACAGCAGAGGGAGGGCTGGGTGTGACCCCTGCCTCTGAGAGAGTCACAGACTCAGAGAGGAGCAGTGGGTGGTCCTGAAGAAAAAGCCACAACACTCTTCTAATTGCTAGGAATGTGAGTGCAAGCGCCCCCCCCCCCCCACACACACACTTAGGAGCCTGTGTGTGTGTGTTTCTCTGTGTGCCCTCCTCCTCCTTGCAGCCCCAGCTCTCTGAGGAGCCTAAAACAGTGCAGAAACCACTGACCTACAGGACACAACCCCACTGCACAAGAGAAGCTAACAGCATAGCCAGCGCAAAGCCCAGCACTTTGAAATGAAATGCTGCGATGATGACCCTGAGCTGTCACACCACACAGAACCCATAGGGTGGACTGATTTTTCCTCTCTCAGGGAGTGTCAGGTACCTGCCCAGAGCGACAGTTGTTAGAGGCATTGAGGTGGGAGCCTCAGGAGCCAATGCTGCTGTGCTGCAGCTGGAGCCTGCGGGCTTTGCCTCCTGCCCTAGGACTGGAGGACTCGCAGCTGCAGGAAGGGTCTAGGACAGGGGTGGGCAAACTTTTTGACTCGAGGGCCACAATGGGTTCTTAAACTGGACGGGAGGGCCGGAACAAAAGCATGGATGGAGTGTTTGTGTGAACTAATATAAATTCAAAGTAAACATCATTACATAAAAGGGTACGGTCTTTTTTTTCAATAGTTTTATTCATTTCAAACGGCCGGATCCGGCCCGCGGGCTGTAATTTGCCCACGGCTGGCTAGGATCTGCGATCATGCGCAGCTCATCCCTCCAGCCCCAGGCTCTCAGGCCTGGTCACTCCTCTTACTCTCTTCCTTCTGAAGGTTTCTCCCAAGGTTTGGCTTCCTGCTTACACTCCTGCAGTCAAAAGCTCTTCAGCATCATTTATATCAAATTTTCTGTGACAGGCACCCCAAAAGGGTGACTTAAGCAAGTTTTAAGGTGTTGCTATCTTTTTCATGGGAAAGAATCTGGAAGCAGGAAGTTCAGAGCTGGCCTGAACTGGTGTCTCCACTCGTCATAAACCCGGGGTCCTCCCAGTTCACCATTCTGCCATCCCCTGTGTGTGGCCTGCGGTGGTCTCATGGTCCAGGATGGAGCTAGAGCTCCAGCCAAAACAGCCTCCTTCCAGGCAGCAACATGGGGGGAGGGAAGGAGGTGGGCACACCCCTCTTCTGTAAGGCG